TTGATGTAGATATATTATTGGACCAGTATGGATTAGAAGTCTACAATGATGTCAGAATATCTCAGTGTGCGTCACTGAGACTTCTTAACCACCTTCTGTTCCAGGGCATGATAATGGCCCTTCACATCTTGTGCCTTAGCCCATAAACCCTACATCAAAGTGCAGTACAGCATATGTTTTCAAAATCACTACCAAGAAAGGAGTGCTCAACAAAGAGGCGTGGTTAGATGTCCAACTAATTTTGGGCCTTACCTCAGCTTTAACTATTAGCCAGAAGCCATACAATTACCGAGTGATTTTAAATCAAAGATACCAGGCATCTGCTAGGGAAGAAAAAAAATAATACAAACAAACAGAAAATCAAGCCAAGAGATTGTACTACTACTACCAAGTAACCTGGAAGGAAGGATTTGTTAATTTTAAAATGTAACTATAGTCTGATCAAATCAAGCTTCACTTTTCAAGATTTTCCGAAGACTGTGCTGTGTGCATTAAGCATATCAATTATCCAGCAAGAAAGAAAATGAAAGTGCATTTCATTTATGTTAATAAGCCAAAATACAGTGGTAGTGCATTGAAATTTATTTTTTATTACTTGTATTACTTTCAGATTCCATGATTCCACATCAGATTGTGCTTTACTTTGACTGTATCTGACACACAGTGGGTGGCGTCTTGTCTGCTTATTGAGGAAAATGCATCTGTCTTCAGATGGAGAGAAAGGAGAGCAATACAGGTCAGCTATAGACAGTTTAAACTGCTCAGAGAAAGTTCAACATTCTCACAACTAAGGCCGCAGCTCAGCTTTGCGGCTTTTTTCTTCACTCTGTGAATGAAGAAATCTTTCCTAGTGCCTGCAAACAGAATCATAGAAGTTTATGCAGAGAAAATAAAAGCATTCTCTGCCACAAACTGGATTTTTACATTCTGTTCCTCCATCTGAAATTCTGGGCAAGCCCAGAAGACTGTGGCTCTTGCCATTACTGTGCGGGGCTTTGAGAGAGGACAGCCAGGTCCTTGCAGCAGTTGCTCAGGTGTAAACCTGAGCTGTGAGGTCAGATCCATTGAGGTGGTGTGAACTGGAATGGTGCTGCTCTCCACTCACCTGGATTTTAAATTACAAGGGCATTACAATCAGGCCTGATGAAGGAAGGTGCAGTCAAAGATGACTTTGCAGTCTGAACTGAGGATCTGGTTGAACACAACAGCAAATGGCTGTAATGGAACAGTCTAAAAGTCTGTCTGTGCCAAAATCCCTGATTGTGATCTGCTAACAAGGTGCGGTGAGAGAAGCATAGAAGGTCAGGCAGGCATCTGTGCTTACCCTAAGTACACCCATCCATCATGCAATTGCCAAGCAGAGCAATCAGGCTAAGTTCAGGAGAAATATTCTTTACTTCTGTAGGAGAAATTGCTTAAAATTTTCAGAAAAGCTTTCTGGGCCTTTTGCAATTTCAAACAAAACATTTTATTCCAAAACTCTGAGTTATTCCTGAAGTATTCTAGAGGGAAAAAAGAAGTACTTCATACCAGAAATAGTACATCTTGCTGAGACATTTTAAATAGCTAGTATTACATCAGGATATAAGCAGAATCAGAATGGCTGAAGGAGCTGACCAGAGCAGAAATGTGAGAAAATTTGTATAGGATACAACTATTTACAGGTAAAAATCTGGCAAATAAATTATTTAAAGTCTACTGCCTGGATGTTTCCCATAGCTTTTAAAATATTTCTCATCAGCTTTAACACAATAAAGACTATACAAGACAAAAAATATCTAACTTTGTTCACAAAGGCAGTATCACAGAATCCTTTCAATTGACAAAAAATAGATATGCAGAGATGGGATGTTAAAAAAGTTCAACAATGTATCTTTCAAAAGTAACAGCAAATGACTGCATTAATTCAAAAGCATTCTGCAATCAGTCCAACACACCACATCTTTCCGATGTCCTAGTAATTTTCATGAAATAAACCTTCTGGTTTAGTTTAAGGTAAAGTTTAAAAAGTTTGAAATAAGTGATCTGTGGTAGTTTTAAAAAATATTTTTTAAATTAATACCAACTTAGTCTTTTCCCTTTTGAAAAAAAAAGACCACAATTGAAGCTGGGATTTTTTCCCTGCTGGTACCCTAGCACATATGAAATTTATAGCATGAATATACAGTATGTTCATTGGAACTTATTGTCTTAGCTGCTGAAGTGAAAGGCACTCATCAAAGTATGGATGGGTAACTTTTTTTTCCCTGTAATGACTACTCCAGAATCAGAAGTACAGTAGAATTGAGGGCAGGGAATTGCGTCTTATAACTTGCTTCGTATACTCTTGGGCAGGGCCATGTGTTCTGAAAACAACAGTTCCAGGGGTGTTTGCCTTAGGAGATCGGGAGAATTTGTGCACTAAGGAGCTACATTTGCATTTCTGATTATCACCTGCTGAGTCCAGGCCACAGAGCGGTTTCTGTTTCCAAGACAGCTGAAAGTAAAATGAAAATGTGGAAGCATGCTCCTCCCCAGAATAGGCAGGTAAATCAATCAGTAATGCAATTTTTTTTTTAATGGATTTAACAATGATGTAATATTTTTTTATGAGACCGTGTCACATTGTTGATGAATCTAGGTGCTTGTTTCTGCACATGGAAGCAGCTTGTGTTCATAATTAGAAATATGGAATCAAAATGTTTTTGAACTGAAGTAGTACATGGCATTCACAATCGTGCAGTTACTGGCTGTAGTAGCTCACTTTTGAAAGGACTCTGCTATTATGTTTGTCTGAATATTACTAACTCTCACTATAGAAGATCCAACTGCTGTCTGGTCAGTTTAATCACTGTTCCCCAAAGACTGTAATTCCATGAAAATAGTATTGATAGTGTAGATATTACAAATGGAATATTAAAATACCTACCTGAAGGTGGAGATAGGTTGAGTATTCCCTGTTCTTGTGACAGGCCTTCCAAATTGATGGGTGAAATGATCAATTGCTATCCTGTACTAGTCCAACAGAGCTAGTCTCTACCTCTGGCTGAGAATGGGTCTGATCCTGCTGGCAGGGCCAGGCACTCAGCCCTCATAAAAATGTTAAGGAAGCTGATGCAAAGTAGCTTCTACCTTGAGTCTTCATGTCTGCAAGAGACATAGAGTGCCATACCACAGTATGTTTGCTTACTGCATGCGGATAAACTGAGCATGGCCAAGCTTCATCTGTGATCTGAACCTTTTTAGCAGCAAGTGTGACAGAAGAATGGTTTAGTGCTTCACTGTAGCAAGAGTCTGAATGATGTTCCTGGTATGAGTTTGCACTTCCTTAAGTACAGTGTGGAGAGTATGCACCTAAGCTGCAGGAACACAGTGGCCAGACATAAACTAGCCATGTCCTGGATGTGGCTGAACTGCAAATGATATGAAATTCAGATATAAGTCTCGCCACAGGGCACAGAGATGTTCTTAAGACCTGTTGCAGGTGTTAGCAGTTGGCCTTCAATTCAGTACCTGAAGGGCATGAAGTAGCCTGAAGGCAGGATACATCCTTTTTTTTTTTGTTTTTAAGTGTAGATGCAAGCTTAGCACAGCAAGTGCTAGAAGGAAAGTCATTCTAGCCATGTAAGGGAGAGGTAAGTATGGATAGCAGTACAGTGTTTAGTGTAATACCTAAAGAGTCAATTGGATGGCGCCAGGTTTCTTTTTTCCAGTGATGCCCAGTGACAGGACAAGGTACAATGGTCACGGAGAGTTCCATATAAACATGAGAAAAAACTTCATTGCTTTGAGGGTGACAGAACACTGGAACAGGTTACCCGGAGAGATTGTGGAATCTCCTTCTTTGGAGATTTCAAAACCCACCTGAATGATTTCCTTTGCAACCTACTATAGGGAACCTGTCTTAGCAGGGGGTTGGACTAGATGATCTCCAGAGATCCAACCCCTACAATTCTGTGATGATAAATATGGACAGATTCATGGAATCATAAAATGATTGAGGCTGGAAGGGACCTCTGGGTCCGTCTGCTCTAACCTCTTCTCAAGAAAGATTAACCAGCACCATGTCCAGGAGACTTTTGGAGATCTCCAAGGAGATTTCACACCTCTATGGACAACTTGTGCCAGTGCTCAGCCACACACGCAGTGAAGAAGTGCTTCCTGATGTTCAGACCAAACAGTACTGGGGTTAGGTAAAGAATGAGGTGGTGTAAAAATTTAGTACAATCTTAGGTTTTAGAAAGCAAAAAATACAAAGATCATTAACTTGACTTGATCTTCAAAAGAAGTTCAGACTAAACCATTTCCTATTTAGGTTCATGAAATAGTGAGAGAAACTGATACAAAGAGATTTTATGTAACACACAAGGGCAAATGCCCATGTTTATCATCGGTTACGGATAGCAGTATAGTCAATGGCATTAGCCTTTAACCACTATAAATGCAATATGAAGAGGCTTCTTCTTGCAATTCACCCAACTAAACCAAAAACTGATAAATTGCATGTCAGGGTGGTAGAGGCAGATGTAATCTGTTCCATTTTAGCTTAGGTGGAAGTTTTAGGAATTTGCTCTTAGAAGAAAAAAACTGAACCATTTGACACATAGCCAGTTGCCATTTGAGATCTCCAACTAGTATCTTAAAATATAACTTTATCTATAAAACTACATTCTTTTTCAGTCATAAAAGTTCCCTGACATTTTATGCTTGGTCTCCTTCCCTATTTTCTTTAGATAAGCGTACATTTCATAGTTGCTGTCTTTTTCTATACATTAATTTTCCTATACATATATATAAATTTCCCATCCATTTCCAGCAGTATAATTGTAACAGATCTTGTGACCTGTACTGGTATGAATGTGAGACAAGAAGTTTCAAGTGAAAGAGTTATCTTTCTGAAGGTACATCAGCCACAACAAGGGTAGGGTGGGGAAAATAGGGAGAAAACGTGCACTTCTCACTCAATTTACTGTGTACACAACAACATGTCAACAAAATTGTGACTGTGTGACTTTGAGACATCATAGCTCTGTTTGCTTGCATTCTTCCACAAGAATTTGGTTTTGCATTGTCATAGCAGGAAGGTAATCGTTGACTGGGTCCTGGATGTTTGTAAGAATCTGACCTAACCCTCGGCTGATTCTCTGCCCGTAAGAGCCGCTGCTGTTTTTGACTGAGATTGTCTGACCTCTGTAGACTTGAGCCCGATGCTCACATATACCAAACTTGCTCAGCAGGATAAATACATCTCTTCGGAAAGCTTTGGTGAAAATAGCGTATAGAAATGGATTGGCACAAGAATTGAGTGGGTAGAAAAGTACCAGCAAAATCTTGGAATTAGTGACTGTTATCAATGGTTTGTTCATGATAGCAGATAGGGCATGGAATGAGATAGGAGCCATACACAGAAAATCAGTGAAAATCAACACAGCCATCCTCTTGGCAATTTTGGTGTCTTTGTCTCCTGACTTGTACTGAGGGTTTCGCACAGTGATATAGATTTTTATGTAGCAGGCACAAATGATGACAAAAGCAATAATGTTACATATTAAAACAAAGACAACATAGGCTTCAGCCACTGGCGTTTCAGTGTCCATAGGTAAGCAGATGCTGACTTTGCTGTAGCTGCTGACTCCAACCAGTGGCAAAAGGGCTAGAAGAAAGCATGAAAGCCAACCTCCCAGCATGATAACCAAAGCATGACGGAGGCGAATCTTTCGATTGGGACGCATGGCAAAGGTGATGGCATACCAGCGCTCCAGGGTGATCACAGTGAGTGTGTATACAGAAAGCTCACTAGCAAAGACTGTGAAGAAACCTGCTGTGTTGCAACCAGGCCCTGTCTGCCACTCTATAGCATGATTATAGTACTCTGATCTGGTGTAGAGGTCCACTGAAGCAATCAGGAGAAGGTATAACCCCATACAAAAATCAGCAAAGGCTAGATTGCACATAAGAAAGCGTGGTACGGTCATTTTGTAATGGCTAGTTAGAAGGATAAAAAGGACAAAAACATTACCTACAATGGCCAGCAAGTTCACAAACCATACCACAATCCTCAGAAACTGGTATCCCATTATGTCCTCACAGGGATTAAACTCGTCAGGCTCTGGAGTGCATATTACATCCTCACTGCCTCCACAGACAAGATAGTCATAATGACTGTCAAAGGCCTGCATGTCTTCAGTTTGAGGATTTTTGAGCTCTTGGCCAAACCCAACATTTTCTTCCCCGTGTTCTTCCAAAAATATGTAATATTGGGAATTTTCATGGAAATTCCTGAACTTGGTGTCTTTGTCATAAACAGAATCAGTGCGGTCTGTGTATTCTTCTGTATAATCTTTGTAAGATGGTTCTCTGATAGCTCTGAACAATCTTCTATTTTGAAAACTGTGACTGCCAGTCTGGTTACACATCAAGTACTCCAGAATTCTGAAAGAGGACAGAGGGAAATCACCACTGGCATTTACAGTTTGAGGTGAACAAAGGGAGCACTTAAAAAAAAAGTACCAAAGGAAAATGTAGCTATAATAATGTAATCAGTTACATATTTGTTAGCAGAACATAAAGTAAATGAAAAACTTGAGAATTTCTGAGATCAAACAGAAAATTTCATTATCAGAATAGCTGCTGTTTTTTACCTACATCTTACTTTTCTTGGTGCCTATCAGATATCCCCAGAAGAAAGCTGGTCTGCCAACTTCTATAATCCCTCTTATTTATTGGAATCCACATTCTTAGTCTTTCACAAGCCTCCTTATAACTTTCTAGATAACACACAGTATTGTATTCCTTTTTATTTTTACTCACAAATCTGTTTTTCACAGAACGTTAATAATAATCATTTCTATTCTGTGCATTTTCTCTACCTTCCTTACAGCTAACTACCAACATAGTATCACAGAATCACAGAATGGCGAGGGTTGGAAGGGACCTCAAGGATCATGAATCTCCAACCCCCCGCCGCATGCAAGACCACCAACCTCCCCATTTAATGCTAGACCAGGCTGCCCAGGGCCCCATCCATTCTGGCCTTGAACACCTCCAGGGACGGGGCACCCACAACCTCTCTGGGCAGCTGCTCCAGCACCTCACCACTCTCTCTGTAAAGAACTTCCCCCTGACATCCAACCTAAATCTTCCCTCCCTCAACTTAGAACAATTTCCCCTTGTCTTGCAGATATCTACCCTTTCGAAGAGTTGATAGTAGCTGAGAATACTGTACTTATGGTATCATGCGTCTGCATTTGTTATCAAGAATGTATTTTTTACTAGAAAAAAGTTGCAATTAGGTATCTTTTATCCATTGTCAAGTAAGCTTTAGCATTTTTCATTTCCAGTTGTTTAGAATTTGAAATTGCTTACAATTTGAGATTGCCTACAATTAAATCTGAGAAATATATGTGTCTGCTAACAGACAAGCATGTCTCTGTTTCATTTTATCATTTGACTGTGCTGAGCTCTCTCTGCATATTCTGCTTGTCTAGGTTTTGAATCTCTCTCCTCCTCTGTTTTGTTTGATTGCTCTCATTTTCCCATTCCATTGTAATTGTGAATAGTATTGGTATATGAGTTTATTCTTGAATAATTCATAAATTTATCGTAGCATATTTTAGTATACTATAAATTCAAACTACAAACACTGCATTACTGAAGATTAAGGCTGTCTTGTTAAATCAGAGAATGGCTAAAATAACAATTCACAGCTCTTAAAACTTATTCAGCTTTAGAGAAAATTATAATGGATTTGAATTCTGCATTCTAGAATTGTGCTGCTAACCACAGCACAATGTTCCTCCCCATGTGCATTCCCCCAGCAGATGAGCTGCTCTGTTCCACTAGGACATCTATAAATGCTTTTTTTTTTTTTTAATCCTTACAAAACAGTTATTTCAGAATCATATATTCTCAGATTTTCAGTTAGAAAGTATCTGAAACATGAGGTTGCAAACCCCCAAAACTTATTTTTGTAGCCCTTGATATAGTACTTTTTTTTTTTTTTTTTCCTTCTGGGCTTAGCAAAAGGAAGAGCCTTGCAAAAGATCCTACTGATCCTGTGATGTATCAAAAATTATTTCCTTTCTGAGTTTGAAGCTATATCCCTTTGTTTCAAAGAATGTACTCAAGAACTAGAGAAAATGTTCATAAAAGTGCTGATTATGTACTTTTGTATTAATATTTAAAAATTGTCTTTACTTCTATCTTTTAAAGACTCACCCACTGTTCTTTTTCCAGTTCTTGAAAGCGCAGCAGTGACTTGGATAGGACAGATCAGCTCGAATTAGCTGAAGAAATATCTTTACAGCTGGTAATTTCTTTAATGTCCATGTGTTTTGGGCCATTAGTTCTTTAAGGCTTTCCAATCCTTTGACAGGAAGATTAACAATGACTGTTCTGGAGACATCCCTTTGTAAAGGAAGAAACAGACAAAACAAAATAGTGAGTGATTGGATCTGAAATGTTTCAGATTCTTACAGTTGTTTATGAGAATAGACCAGATAGAATAGAATTCTAGAGCAGAAATAAAATCCAGGGTAGGTGGGGATTTAGGAAGCTGCATAAGTATATTCCACTTCCAAGAAAACAAAAGACATACAGCATGTTCTTATGAACTAAATAAACCTTAACTTTATACCATAGAGTAATTAAATTACTTCATCTTCAGTTTCTGATACTTTTACTAATATACAATTATATATATAATTCTATGTACATTAACATAGCCTTCTTTAGGAATACTAGGTATAATTTGTTGGTATGTATGTGTTTTAAAGTTCATCTTTAATGTCTCATAGATGAGAGCAGAGATGATAAATGCCAGGACTTTAAATTTACAACTTCAGAGACGATGTACAAAAATAAAGTTCTCAAAATTCTTTAACAAAACTGCATCTTCCATTAGAAGAACTATTTTCCTTCAGGCTTCTTTAGACTCATTTTAATATGTTAGGCTCCTTGTAATTGCTAAAACAATGTCCTTTATAATCTGAAATTAAAATGCTCTATCTCAGTGTATCCTGAAATGCTCACAAAATATTAATATTTGCTGCTTTCTGTTTTCTGGAACTGAGTCTGACTTAGCAGATACGTTGCATTGTTTATGGATTTCCTTAAGCCAGTTGAATATCATCAGATCCTGCTAGTCTTTGGCACTCATTTATTTGCTTTGTATCGAACTTCTTCTAATGATGCTGGAGGTCAAGGTCATTTCTCAGAGTCAGCTCTGTAAAGAAGTAAACCAGTAAAAAAGTTTCTGTTGTGGGAGCATTAAGCACTTTCATCATGAAACATCATGCTAATAAATAGTTCTCCTTTTTCCTACTCATTGTTTTTCAAGAGTGCTGTTGTTATCCCTCTAAGTCTCACCCACTCTGACTGGTTTCCTGCATTTAAAAGAAAATAATTACTAATTTTATTCTTTGAAAAAATTGCTTCTAAATCTCTTGTTATTACATTGCCTTATTTTTCCTTTTGATTCGCTAATGTTAGTAAGTTAGAAATTGCTTCCACTGTCTGAAGGAGGGCCTTTTACATCTAATAGCTTCTTTGCTATTATATGTACTTGAATATGTCACAACTAGTTGATTTCAGTGACATCAGCTTCCTTTTTGTTCTTTTAGATCTTTTTCAGTAGGCTGTACATCTTTATGCTAAGCCCCTGAAATGGGCCTTACAACAGTCTGAATGCTCTCTCCTGTCATTTTATCTTTTATAGAGCCTCAGAGTAAGTCGAATCCAGAGGTCATCCAGTTTGACCTCTCTCTTCAAAGCAGCCACTTGGAACAAGTTGCTCAAAGTTTTGTCCTGTTGAGTTCTCAGTACCTCAAGAAATGGATACTCTACAACCTGTATAGTCAGGTTGTTCAGCATTTGACTACCCATACAGTAAAGAAGATTTATCTTAAAGTGAACTAAACTTTTCTGTATTTCATTTTGTGCTTGCCTCTTGTTCTGTTGCTACCAATGAGAGTCTGGCTGCATTTTGCCAGCTCCAACCCCATCCAATTTGAAATATTTATATACACTGGTAAGTGTCTCTTGAGCCTTCCCTTCTCCAGGCTAAATGTTCCCAAATCTCAACCTTTACTTACATGATGGGTGTTCCTATCCCTCAATTAACTTACTTGCCTTTACCTGTGGCTTTTTATTTTTCACTATTTTCTCCATGCTATATAGACCTCCTTCTAAGCAAAACATCTTGGTAAAGTAGATCTTGGAGCAGATCTTACCAAGATAAAGCTGGCCTTTTGGCAACCCCCATGGGTCTCCATCAAGTCCTCATGGTGGTGGTAGCTACCTGCAGGAAGGGAACATGGTTAAATGCTGTGTGATGGGAGTTGCTAAGGCTTTTTGGAAGGGAAAAGTGGCACATCACAAATTCTTGGGCACTCTTTGAAGATGTTCTCATATAACCACATGGGAAAAGATGATGCAGTTTGCACAGTGAAGTTTTTATTTTTGAAAAGCCTTGACAAAGTCAGGTATCAAGGGCAGTTGTGGTAACTAAGAGGTTATATAACAAGAAGAATAGCTCTTGTGGATTAATAAAAAAATAAAAGTAGTTGGGAAAAAGCCTGGGAATTTAGCATAAGTTGTCATACTAGAAAAAGAATGGGAAATCATTCATCATAGCAGCAGAAGTTCACAGGGCCTAGGCTAGTGCTGGTACTATTGAAATATTCATAAATAATCTGAAAAGCCAATGAGACTGGAAGCAATGAAGTTTCTTTCTGACACAAAATAATATAGGGTATTGAGAGCTAAGGATGCCTGAGAAAAGAAGCCGAAGAATCCTGCAATACTAAGTGACTGAGCGGTAGATGGGATTCAATATTGATGCAAAGTGCACTTAGGAAAACCTATCTTAACAGTAGGTAGATTACAATGATGTTTAATTTACCTAGTACTCTGGGTAGATCTTGAAGTCCTCCCTGCAAATCTCAGCTCATTGTTACTCAGTAATGTTGAAGGGAAATAGAATGCTTAGTATTTTTAGGAAAGAAGTAGAAAATCTTCAGTCCGTAAATCTGACTACATTTTAAGTACTATATGCAGTTCTATAAATACTACATGCAGTTTACAATGGGTAAATAAACTAGAAAAGTTTAGAAACATACATCAAGGATGATCATAGAATTATCAAATATTTTCATAGAAAATAATAAGGACTTATTGGCTTGCCAGACATTGTATCTTAATCTGCATTAACATACATATAGAACACAAATGTTCATGAATGACGTTTTTATCTTGTTTCATTGTATGATCAGTTCTGATTCTGGACTACTAAGAAAAATACAGTTATGTCAGCCTTATTAATATCTAATTATATACATAACTAAGACATTTTTAAAACACAGCTGTGTTTACAGTGCGCAGAGTATCCAGCTACTACTGTGAAGCTGTAGCTGGCTCACTTTTAAAAACAAGAAGTCTGATAGACTTGACTAAAAAAGAGACAGGAAACTGATAAAATGAATGACGAATAACCAGGACTGGATGGTTTTCACTGAAAAGTTCTGAAGGAGCTTAAGGAGGAAAGAGTCGAATTAGGAGAGGAGGTGTGCATCCTCCAACTTAGCCCTATTTAGTCCCAGAACACAAAGGCAGCAAATGAGCCAACAGTTTTTGGAACGTTGGGAAGCATGTGCCTATCAGGCTCTGATGTCTGCACTAGACTTTTTTTAGAAATCTAACAAGAAGAACAATTAATAAAGGTATAGACTAAGATAATGTGCCTGATAGAATCAGCAAGTAAAGGTCTTTGGTAAAGTCTTGCTTTAGAAACAAATCTCTCCAAGCATTGTGATGAAAACCTGCTCTTGCAGTCTCCTAGGACTTCCAAAAGGCCTTTTGCAAACCTCCACCAAAGGCTGATATGGAAACCAGGCAGCCACACTCCTTGTAGAAGACACCAAGTGTTCAGGGATGTGGTAAAATGCTGAAAAAGTTCACTTCTATTCCAGATCCAGCATTCATGTTGCTGGGCTTTAGAGCTCGTTCAGCTCTTGGAAATGATTGATTTGCAATAGCAAATGTACATGCTTTGGAGTGTGCAGTTAACACAAATGCTCTCATCCATGTTTAATTATTTTTTGTTTTTCCGTATGGTTTCTTATAAATCCTATGATGTTTTTCAGCTGTTGCTTATCTTACAGGAAATTTGAATTTATAGGGAACCGAATGTTGCATCAGCCATAGGTAAGCTTCAGATGAATACATAAATAAAGCATAGCTTATGATTTAATAAGCTGAGTGATCAGTATACATGGTTCAAGTGTTAAATGTTTAACTGCTCGGATTTGATTTATTTTTAATGATTATTATTTTTGGTCCTTATTTTTTAAAATGAAATTCAAAACTAGATTCCACCTTTTTTTCACAGTCAGAGACATGCAACTGTAATATGAAATCAATGATAATGAAAATTTAAAAGACAGATTAATTGAGAAAATGAGAGTGAATGTATAGTAACACAATTAAGGATTTTTTATCTAATCAAACCCAGTCTTCTTAGTTGTACTACTGTAGTAGCTATAAAATCTATTCTAAGCTGGGCTTACACTACACATTGTTTTCATTTAAGCAGAGTCTTTACATCTACAAATTCTTACTGTTTGCTTCACAGAATGCAGGCTGTTCCCATTGCTTGAAGAACTGTTTTTGCCCAGTGGCATGAACAGAGTGGATCTTCCTAAGGTAGGACTGATTCCCAGTAAGGGAAGCAATGCTTTAAAAATGCCTCTGCTTTCTACAGATAATTAATTTTTCATAAATATCTTATGCAAGAATTAATAATGTTTTGAATTCAGACTGTATATTTTGCAAAATCTAACTATACTGTAAGCCTGATTATTGTACTCTGCTGAACTTGTGTAGGTCTAGATGTCAGCTCTTGTTGATACATTTTAGTAAACCAGGTCCTCTGAATCCTAGTCAAGAATTCAAAATTTCAAAGGGAGCAGTCCATACATCTGGCTATACAGCAAAGAGAGGAATCAGAATTATTGACATTTTTCCTCCTCTCTTCAATGATCCAACTCCCCTCTTTCTTTGCTATTGCAAACTGCAAATTTATAAACAGAAATATACCTAGATTTTTAATATCTGTCTAAACATACCACCTAACCTAAATATACCACCTAGAGCATGCCCAAACTCATGTAATATGTCTAGGATAATTTTAACTTAGACATTTTCCACCGGCTTTCTTTAAAGTTGAAGTGGAAGAAAATTATCCTCTTGGGGTGGATCCAAGGTAATTATTTTAGTTTTTAGGTTGCTGTTGCTGCTGAAGTCCTGATCAGAAAAAAAGAGTAGTAAACTATATATCTGTGGGATAGAAGTTCCATCAACCATAACTTCAAGAGTGTATAAAAGAATCTCAAGACGATAAGTTCTGCCAGCTTGATAGGGTGGCAAGGCAGAAAGAGTCTCATTTGTTGAGATCATTTTGACTATTGTAGGCAATAATATTCATTGCTTCAGGGAATGGAATATTTATCTTTTGGCAATCTTTTTCCACATAATTATTTTGCAAGAGGAAAGAGTATTTTAAATGGAACTTTCTTCTTGAAGAAGATCCAATGTCCACAGATTCCCATGCCAGCTAATGAAGCTAACAACAGCTAGATGCCTGAACCAAAAATGACATAATTTTATATTAAAATCCTTCAGATGACTATGAGGCTGGAAGCCAGGTTACATGAGAAAGATGATAAGGCAGCAAGACCAGTAAATTTATTCTGACTGAAATTCAATTTTCATCTCTGTTTCTATTTCCTTTACAGGTATGATAAAACAGTCCCTTGTTTTACAGTTGTACTCCCATTTCATGGTCATGAGACAGATTGTAGTACAGAATCTTTCAGAAGAAAAAACTGGAGAAAAACTAATTCTAAGAGTAAATTGGTCTCCTGTGGAAAAGTTTTTGTTGCTGATCATCTTTTTGTTAACTTGCCATTCCCACCCCTCTGTTCTCCTATTGATGACAGTTGAAAAGAAAGTGTAAACAAAATTATATTATTTTTAAGGCTTTCTTTACATCACTTTCTCCTACTCACAGTAGAGTTGGTCCACTATGCACGCCCAGAAATGCATCTTCATTGATAACTTTCAGGTATTTGTTCTTGTGGAGATAGCTGCAGAAACAGACAAAACAGTTTGGAATTTGGAAACAGTCATCCATAGGTGAAAGATATTCAAGTTTACATGTCTTAATAGATTGACAAAAATAATATGTAAAGGACCATCCCATCCCAGAGTCAAGTTAAAGGTGTGTGGTTAAAGGCAGGCAATGCAATGCTACTGAATGCTGAAAAAAAAGTAATACAACCCAACTGAAACATTCAATTTTAAGTTTATTTTTGCATTTCTAGGTTACATTAATAGTGACTAATCTAGGATGAATCTTCATCATTTTTAAGATGAATTCCTGTTTAGCATGGTCTGAAATGATAATGTGAGAAATGTAAAAATACATAGGCTGCTCCAAAAGTAATGCATCTTATTTATTTCCATGGATACCACAACAGGTACAAAGAGCACAATAACACTGATAGAGCAAATTCTCAGCTGCAAAACCCTACTTTTCAACATAGTCACCACCACTGGCTATTCATTTTCACCAGCAATGAACAAGAGCTCATAAAAATCTGTACCAGCAGAGATGACCTACTGTTTCACAGCTGTTTGGATAGCTCTTGCAGTCCATCTTGCATGGTCTTGAACAGTTGGAAGTCAGAAGACACCAAATCTGGATTATACAGAGGCTGTGGTAGGACAGTACAGCCAAGATCAGAAATGTGCTCCATGATCTTCAAACTGGTCTTAGTGTGTTGCAAGAGAAAGGTTGTATTCTCAGGACTGACTCTGGAAATATGAGCCTTCAGCTTAGTGTTGTGATGTAGTTTTGTCTGGGTTCCTGGAAATCCCAAGGGATCACCCCATTCTTAGCACAAACAACGGTGCACATCAGTTTACCCCCTCAATGCTGTGTTCTTGATGGAAAATTCACATGTTGCCATTCCATAGACTGCCTTTTTTTTTCCAGCTCATAGTGATGTCATCACATCTCGTCTTATTACCAGTAATGATGCAATCCAGGAAACCGTCACTTTCAAGCCCGTATTGCTTCAGTAGATCCTGACAAACTTGCATACAGTGTTCTTTCTGTTACTGTGTTACTCATGGGACCTACTTGAAACAAAACTTTGCTATATTGGAACACTGCCACCACAGTTTCCAATGGACTGAAGCCAGCATTCAGCTCTATATACAGTTCTCATAATCTGCCAATTTGCATGGATTAGTAGATCAAGACACCCTTCATTGTGTAGCGTGGCAGTGGTGCATCTGGAATATGGCTTGTCTTTCAACTCACTCCTGCCACTACTGAAACACTGCCTCGTTGTGCTTACACCCATTGTTTGGTCTCCATCAATGTTCAGCAAGTGGCAATGACTGTCAGTGGGTGCCATTTTTCTGAATGGAGGAACTAAATGACTCGTATTTGCTCCATCTGGATTTCCGTGTCAGACACTGTTTTGTCAGACTGCCCTCCTGCCATCAGAACAGTGGAAGGAAGGTTCGACCTCTACTGCCCTAACACCCACATACACTTCCAACATTGTTGGCCAATGTAATAAAATAGGGCATTAGTTTTGGAGCAGCCCTTCTATACGGATTGCAGGTAATTTAGTCAAATTGCAAACTGTAATTGCAAGGCTACACATTTATTTCTGAGACTTTTGTTCTCAATGGCCCAAGACAGTTTATGGAGTTTTTGTGGAAGAAACTAGGAGAAAAATAATTGGTTTTGGTAAATCCACAGTTGCAGGTCTACAGAGAGAAAACATAAATTCAGTAAACAGCAGAAGCACAGGCATCTTGCTTTTGTGCTGGAGGCACAGTGGATGTAGAGCACTGACCACTTCTATGAAATTCTGCAAAGAGCAGATATACACAGAACATGGTGAAATGGAAAAACAAGCATTATTTTTATTTCATCATGTATTTTATGATGCCATCTTCTGTGTGAGTTGGATACATTTGACATAGGGTTAGAACAAAAATGTGGTTTTGGAGTAAATGTTCAGCTAAAATGTACTCCTCAAAATATCAAAGTGCATTAATTTCCTTGATGAGGTTGTACTTCATGCCATCTCCTTGGTTAGCCAGGACTAACCTATAAGCAGCCAGATCTTGTAAACATAGACAGGACACGCTGAATTTGCTAAGTAATGAAAAGAGACTGAAGATTAGGTTGTGATATATACATACATATAGATATGTATGTGTTTATATGTACATACACACTGCACACATACACAGGGATGTGGATAGGACTTCACTGTGATGACTCCTTCCCTCAGCAAGCAGTCAAGACCTGTGTTATTTTTACTTGGTTCAGTCAAGATCTATCTCAAAGTTTACCAGTGGAGTAGCTTGCAGACATCAAATATAGTCATGTTTGATAACTTAATTTCATTGGAAACTGGAGTCCTGTGATGGCAGTGAGAGTCATTTACCAGATATAGTTGTCCCTGAGGAGGAAGGAGCAAGTATGCAGCTCTCTTGGCTAAGGGGCACTATATAAGCAGTGATACCCAACAATTCAAGCATCTTGTTCCTGTGCTGTGCTAAGGCAAGACCTTTGAGAGAAGTTTGAACTAAGACAGCAGTGTAGATGGTAAAATGCTGCAGGACTGAGCTTCGGGGCAGAAATGCAATATGACTCATTAAGGAGAAGAATGTAGAGAATTGCTAAGGAAAGTTGTCAGGGGGGAATGAATAATCCCCTTAATGAAAGAAGGCAAAATGATCAACACTGTAAAGGCCCTGAAGGAACATGGTGCCTAAGGCAACTGACTCTCCCCTTTATATTCAAAATAGGTTTCCTTTTTTTTCAAATTTCTGTATAATGGGAAAAGTAAAGGCACGAATAGCAAAACACAGATTAAAACATGAGATGGCAGTCTAGGAGCAACAACAACAGCCCCAGACCACATTATTACAGATAGCTTGGGTTGGCAACAATAGTGGGTCACTCAGAATGAACAAGTAAAAGCATTCCTTGACATATTGCCAACAAAGGCTGGTGGAGGTCTTGATGAAGAATGACGAAGAATAATATGACATGATGTGATAACTGTAAAACATTGCTCCTCTTAAAGCCAAATGAAGAACAGAAACCTTGCAAGGACAGCAAACAATCTGCCTTGTGGAGGTCATGTTTAAAAGGACAGAGAAAAGCAGAGAAAATTGCCAATGATGCAGTTGATGTCAGGATGCTGGGTACTGTAACTACTATAAACTTTTTCAAGTTAGCTTGTGATGTAGCTAGGAAAGCAAAAAAGTATAAAAGAAAGCTTGTAACCCCTGCTCTCAGAGGATGTCAATGAAAATGCTATGCCCATTGTGCCAATCAGCGGAGGAGGTACATGACCTGTCAAACCTTTCTTAACTCTAACCTCAGTAATAAAAACACCATTTGAAATTAGTCAGCCAACTCAGAGAAGTGCAGAAGGATCACCATTTTACCTCTGTGCTGGGAGAATCTTCTAAATTGAGATAGGTGAACTGGGGGTTAAGCTGTAAAAGTAATAAAGTCAGTGCAATTGTTTTTTGTTTTGAAGAAAAAAAAAATTAAAAAAAAAATAAAATAAAGCTTTTAATCCCATCCTGGTTGAAGTCACTGGCAGTTTTTCCAAAACATTTGTTGTATACAAGCTCACATTGATCACCATAGTGAGAAATGAGCAGAAGTAAATGCTCTTCAGCTGGGTTATTCAAAATAGAATCTTACAGAGCCATGCCAGAATAAAATTTCTGGCATGTTATTCACTGGACAATGCCAATGCCTAAAGCCTTGCTTCTTACAGAGAAAAATAGCTTATTCTTTCTCCTCATCTATTGCTGTTTGAAATAAACTTTGTTTCTTTAAATATGTGAAGTATTATAGTATCACCTTACGTCTGTAGTTTTTGAGAAGAACTCAAAGTCTGTAAATGACAATCTTTGTTTTGAGCTGTTGCTTCATTTTGCAAATTTCAAGATTTTATCACCAAGTGAATAAGAAAACCAAAAACAGAGCAAGAGCTAAGAATGATCCAATGGTTCTGAAGGACACAAAATCCTGCCTGATCTAATTAAACTGTCTGAATTGATAACTAGATATTATTACACAGCCAGATAAATTACTTGTCCAGCTGTGAAATATTTTCCCCTGACACTTACCAATTTAGAAGATGTATACCAATTTAGAATCACCAAGGTTGGAAAAGACCTAAAAGATCACCCAGTCCAACCGTTCACCTATTCCCAATAGCTCCTACTAAACCATGTCCCTCAACACAACATCCAGTCTTTCCTTGAACACCCCCAGGCTCGGTGATTCCACCACCTCCCTGGGCAGTCCGTTCCAGTGCCTGACCACCCTTTCTGAAAAGTAATACTTCCTAATGTCCAGCCTGAATCTCCCCTGCCGTAGCTTGAAGCCATTCCCCCTGGTCCTATCACTAACTTGAATAACACAGTGATAAACCTGAAATTTTATAGTTCACATATGTGATAAAAATCTTCAAATTGACGAATGGAAGTGGTCCAGTGGGAGCTTAGGGGAAGTTCATAACCATACATTAACAAGGAGAGGCTGCAGTGTTATTTGCCAGTTTTCACACACGTCTCAGGCTCATCAGAGCATATAATTTCCTGACGATAATTGATTTCAGTTTAATCTTTTACTCTGATAGGTACTTCTTATAAACAGAAAAAAAAAAAAAGACTGTGATAAACAGTCATTTGACAAAGAAATTTTATGTATAGCTAACATAACTCCTTACAAAAGCACCTTTAATCTCACTTTTATGCATGGCTTAATGGTATGGAATGTTATTTAAATGCAGTGCAGAAAAGGAAAGCACAATATGGTACTTGTCAAATAGTGATAGTGTCAAAACAAACATTGAAAGACTGAGAATGTCTGTCCTCAGTGGGGACACTAGAATAATGATCAGTTTGAAGAGTTAATGAAAGGCAATCAGAAAAACATTAACATCACAGTGCAAAGTGTGCAGGAATATAGAGTAGGATAAGGTGATGGTTTAACTGTGCTATAAACGAAATGACAAATATATGAATATTCAGTCATTATCAACACATACTTCATAAAGCCACAAGTTAGATAGTCCACCTGAGGAAAAGCAACTCTTGAGTTTAGCTTTTGAAGCTTGCAGAATCATATAATTATAGAATCATTTGAGTTGAAAGCAACAATTGCAGATCATTTAGTCCAACTCCCTGCAGAGAGCAGGGACACCTACAGCTCCATCGTGTTGCTCAGAGCCCTGTCCAACCTGACCTTGAATATCTCCAGAGACAGAACATACTCCATCTCTCTGGCAATCTGTTCCAGTGTTTCGCCATCCCTATTGTAAAAACTAGTTCTTATATCTGCCATTAAACAGGCTCTGGACATGTAATGCATTAGTCTAATTAAATATCCCATTTGTTTATTAATTGGAAGTTGAAGAAATGGAGAGTCTGCAAAAGATGTGAGCAATGTTAAGGATTCATCATGTGCTTCTACTACACTGTTGTTTATCTTGTCTCTGAGCTTGACCAAGCATTAAAAATTATCCCTGGCAGCGTATACCAAAATAAATACATCCTTTTGGAGTTATTTTTGTAATTAGATTTTGAAATTGCACACTCACCATTTCAGTAATTTAGCTCTGTAAAAGCTCATCTCATGCATTTTGCCATTCACTGTAACTATATTCTTAAGGAACTTCTTTCCTCATCAATTTCCTTACAGAAATAAACATAGTTGCAGGAGCACCACTTTGCAGAATTCTGCAGAAGTGTCAGGATTAAATGTTGTTTTTGGTGGAGAGATTCAACTTTCAGATGGACAATGTTCAGTAAAAGTACAGTTCACCTCTTCATTCATGTTCTTGTACATTCCTACCATTATAAAACCTGTACGAAGACATCACGGTTTGCTATAAACACAGATTCTTGTTGAATGAGAAAACTTCATAGGTAGCACTATTGCTTAACATGGCGATCACTTATGCACAACTCCACGCTTACATCTGTGTTGTTTTCAACCTCCCTGCATTATGTCTTTCAGTACTGCAAGACTGGGTGAAAGGCAAACCACATGATAGCAGGTATCTTCTTCGATTCCCAATTTTTTTTTACTATTTATAGATAGCATGTGGAATATTTGAATGATTCATCAAAAATGAAATTTTGTTTTCTATTGTTATCCTTTTTTTTGCTTGTTCTGTTCTTTGAAGTAATTACTCGAAACCCATGAAAATCTTTCCCTCACTGTTTTTCTCCTCTTTTTCTTTTTGCTCCTAATTTCATCTAGTCCGGAGGGCCCTGGATCAGACCCAGAGAAAAACAGGTCCTTTCTTTCCTGTGCATTGCCAGATAAATGAGAGTTCAAATTAAAAGCGTCAGAATAAAGAAAATGAAATATTTGCCTTTTGCATTAACTTAATGCTGCTACTAGAAACAACAAATCTCCACCCGTGCACTTAACAGAATTATACTTTAGCACATGTTAATCAAACTACTTAAGAAAATTAGTTTAGAAATTTCAATATAGTTTATCAAACAGATAAAGACTTCACCACTGATGTTCTGCTCCATAGTTTGCCTTGTAAATCTGGAGCTGTGCTTTGCTCCAGGTAAATCTTATATGATTTAATTACAAGAAAACTCTTTGTTGTTATGAACAATTTTTACTTCTGATAGGCAAAGCCCTGAAGGTAAGCCTTTTTTTTATTTTCTATTTATTTATATAAGTAATTTTAACTAGTACATCATAAACAGCCTCTGGAAAAATTCACTAAAACAATATTGATTATAAACTTTTACTGAAAGAAAATAAGCTGTATTTGCAGAAACTTATACATGTATTCTCCTTCTCCTACCCAGTCAAATAAAGCAGAATGCCACAGACTCTGAATCATGTAGAACTACATTTCCACTTTAATTCCTCAGTAATGACAAAAATTCCAGTGAGGCCAGAAGCATTTGCACAGTATCAGAGAAGGAAAAAACAAACAAACTCCTATAGAGTCATATTTAAAATGTGTTTCATCAGTATATGAGAAGCTGAAGAGCTACACAGTTTTTCAATTGGCTAACAGAGAAGTATTAAGAATTGCATATGAAGCTTGGATTTAGTCGAGATGCCACATTCATTTAGATGTATTTTATTTCTTGTGATTTCTGTGGACATTAATATCAAACACTGTGTCATCAAGAAAAGATTTTCTTTTTCATACAGAAGTTGAATGACTGAATTCATGTGAAGAAAATAAGATCTACTCCAATTCTTTAGGTTTCAAGAAGTCCAGATAAGCATTAAGGGAGAAAGAGGCAGTTTGCAAAGATTCAGCCCGTGCGAAAGATGATCTTTCAGAATTTTTATAGAACTCTAAACCTATTTAAAATAAAGAAGTAGGAAAATTTTCTGTATCCTCATGCCTCTACAGTTAACTTAAGAGTTCACAATGAAGAAATTTCTTTAACTTGTGAGATATTTTGATAACCAGACTCCAGCTGAGTAAGCTCTGCCAAAGCAAATGAAGCTTCCAAAACCTTTCTAGATTTGTTCCATGTGAACAGACCATTTTGAGAAGGATGTGAAAAGTATATTCAGTTGATAAGTAGTAGTTTTCCAGAAACTACAGTAAGAAGGTGAAGAGAAAGCTGAAATAATTGCTTTTTGCTTTGGACAGGCATATCTTTCATTTTTAGGTCGAGTGCCTGGTTCCTCCCAGTTGCCTTTTTTTTTTTTTTTTCCTTCAGGTAAGAGATTTCTGTGAAATGTCATTGCTACCATTACTAATATTACACTTACTAAAGTAAACTGCCTTGTAAGATTTCAATTGTCTTTGAAATCTTTTTGACCAAAAGACATTTCATTGTAGCTTCAGGTCAGAAAATTAAACAAAATTCATACTAGAATCACCTGCTATGATTTTATTTCTGAACTATAAATATATGTATATAAAATCGAAGTGCTCTGCAAAAGATGTCAAAATACCTATATTTTTATTGCTGGCTGAAATTAGTATCTTTCTCTTTTCTTTTAAAAGAAGAGATTATCTGGTACTTACATAGCATCCAGATTTGTCCCATTAAAAGCATGGCCTTGGATGCTGGTAAAACCATTATTGTAGAGTTTGCTGCAAAAAAAAAAAAAAAAAAAAAAAAAAAAAAGAATTAGTGTATTTTGGGATGCTTTGGTAATGAAATACCTATTACCTTATTTATCATTTTTATTTGCAACTGCGTGTTTATGAGTGAGTTAATTTCAGTGTCTTGAAGAAGTAACAATTGTAGTGCAAGATTGAGCAGATGCCAGCAGCTTTCCTAAATGTAGCCAAATTAAGAATACCACGTGGCAGGTATGCTGTCTTTTACTTCTTTGTGCAGTAAATATAGAACTAGACAAAAACATTTTGCCATACCTTTCCTGCTTCCAAGATACAAACAAAGAAATAAAATTCTGCAAGGTCAAATTAAGGAAATAATAAATTGCAGTATGGATACCGTTTTACAATAATGCCTGTCTGAACTTCTAGAAGTATGGATACTACATATAATGCCTATGATGTTTCTCCATTATAAACTACTGGAAAGTACAACTGAGTTGTTTTTTTTTTAATATAGTACCAAATGCTTGACGGATTAAGGCAAGGTGATTGCCTTTTTGGGTTAAGCTGGAAGAACTTACAGAGTTAGAGATTCATTACAGAGCCCGTGGAAAGCATTTGCAGGCACTGAAGTCATGAAGGGATTGTCTGCAATTTCACTGAAAAAGGAGAAGAAACATCACAGTCAAACATCTGCCTAACAGAGCTTCTCCATAACAGTTCTATCATTCATTTTTCTCTGCCTTGGTAATAAATAAAAGTGTAGAATTATTGTTTAGTTACACCTACAGCTGTAAGAGGCAAGCTGGGATGATTAAGAATCAAGGATGTTTCAGCATCCAAGACGTGAGCTTGCAAAGTCAATGGGTTTTATAGTCCTGGTGAGATGTGCCAGCCTGCATGATTTCTGTGGTGAACAGCAAAGACAAATTCATTCTCCCAAAATCCAGATAATTTGCAAAGTGAATCATGCTGCAATGTCAACTGAGTTAGCTCAAGTGACTTTCGAGATGAGATCTTGCTGTTTAGCTATGCTTAGGTAAAACATCAGAGAATACAATATAACAGACAGAAGCATTTTCCCTTATAGAACTGCTTCTAAAGAAAGTGAAATAAAATTTTACTGTCTGATTTAACTTAATGAATTTTCTCAACTGTTGTCCAAATGAGTGTTTCAATATCTGTTATTTCTTAAAAACTTAATTCCCACTCTGCAGCCTTAAGAAATACCCACAGCACCACATAACCATTTGCTCTCTCCCCTGCCATGGGGTGGGGAACAGATTCAAAAATGAGAAAAGTGAGAAAACTCATTGTTTGAGATAAGTGCAGTTAATAAGGAAAAGGAAAAAAGAAAAAAAAAAAAGTTAAAATGAACACACAAAACCCAAAAAAGCAGCAAAATATTTTGATGCACAACACAACTGATCACCACTAGCTGTCTGGTGCCCAGCCAGTCCCAGAGGAAATGTAACCCCCCACCCACACACACACAGTTTTATAATTTAGCATGTCACTATAATGGTATGGGACATTCCTTTGTCCAGTTTGTGCCAGCTATCCAGGTTCTGTCCACTCCCAGCTTCTTGTGCACCCCCAGCCCCTCACTAACAGTGTGAGAAGGTAAAATTTCCTTGGTTGCATGCAAACACTGCTCAGCAGTAAACTAAAACTTTGGTGTGCTATCAATATCATTCTCATTCTAAACCCACAACACAGTACCACACCAGCTAAGAAGAAAATATATTTGCTGAAACCAGGACAATCATGAAGGTGAATAGTAATGTAACAATTAGTTATGCTACTTGTGCTAGTGCTCAGCCACCCACAAAGTGAAGTGCTTTCTGATTTTCAGTTAGAACATACTGTGTTCCATTTTGTATATATGGCCTTTTATCCTAGCACTAGGCACCACTGAAAAGAAACTAGCTTCATCTTCTTTGCATCCCCAGTTCAGGTACTTATACGCATTGATAAGATTCCCCCAGCCTCATCTTCCCCAGGCTGAACAGTTCCAGATCTTAGCCTCTCCTTATAGGAGAGGTGTTTCAGTCCTCTAATCATCTTGGCTGCCCTGCGTTTCATTCTTTCCAGATTGATTAGGAACACCATTTATCAGTATTGAATCAACATCCAGGTCAGACCATTAATCAAGCCTTTGTAAATTCCTTTCCAGAATAGTACATCACGGTTTTAACTTTTACTTAGTCCATTCAACAGTCAAGCCTATTCCAGCTGAATGCTGTGTGATATGCAGACTGCTACCACTAAACAGTGACTAAGATACTTTTACTTTGTGTCAGCCTACAAGTCTTTGTCTTAGCTGCTCTTCCTTAGCTTGATTGCAACCCTGATTTTGGGCTTTAATTGCAAGTTAGTGTACAGAGACAGATATAGGCTTTGCTTTTTTGAATGCAAAGAAACACCTGTTTTCACGGCAGTAGTGTTTGTTTCTGAAATAGCTTTAAGGATAAAAAAGGAGGGAGGCACAAAACCTCCACCACATTTGTATTCCCTTTCTTTGTCTCCAAGCTGTTCTGCAGTTTGTTCCATGAGAAAAAGGAAAGAAGAAAAAAAGAAAAGAGGGGGTCCTTTAAGCTAAAGTAAACCTTTTTTTTTTTAAGTTGCAAGAAAAGGAGAATGCTTTTACTGTGACATAGAAATGCATCATGTGAGCAAACTCAACTAAATTAGCAAAGCTGCTAATAGGACAATTCTTTCCAGCTGAGGACTGTAGTTAATGAGGACTCTCACAGGAATGCTTGCTTAAAAATAGGTAATTCCTGCTGCCTGGTTTCTTTAATGGGGTAGTAGAGTTGTGCTTGTAGTGTGACTGCACAAGTAAATTTAGGCAAAGTATGTGTTCATATGGAGCTGTGTTGTGATTCTAAGAGATGGCATCGTAAGCATCTGCTGTGAAATAAGGTGAGTGACTGAAGGGAAATAAGCAGTCCTCTCTCTTAACAGTGCCTGCTTGTAGTGTAGCCAAATAGTAGTTTTCAGGAAATATGTGGTTCTTTGTTTATGGATTTTTAGGTGCAAGGCTTTTCTACATTAGCTTGGTATTGGGAGGCTGTTTTAGTAACAAACAGAAGACTTGTTTTCCTCCACAGTGAGAAGTATGCGAAAGTGACACAAGTACTTAATAAGTGGAGGGAAAGTGCCTGGACAGAGAAAAGAAAGGAGTTCAGAGTACTTATGCTAGTTAGAGGCATAGATGATGCTGGCACTATGCCAATCACCATGGGTGTGAAAGGCCATCTTGGAGGCTTCTGCAGCTGCTCGTGCTGGACATCCACCAGCAATTCTCTCAGTGTGCTACAGCTACATATGTTGAGGGGAAAGGTGATGGACTCTGAAGTGTCACTGTAATGTTAGGAAGGGGAGAAGTGTTGCTTACTATTGTTCTGAAACAAGGTTATGATGTTTAGAACTAATGGAGCCCATAAGCTGAGGATGGGAGTTTACCAATGGGATCACTGGTATGTGGGAGCTACTACCACCACCTTCCAAAGATATCCAGTGCTTTTACACCCTGTCATTAGCAACTCATTAACAACCAACCACCACCTGATTCCTCGTAATAAAACAAGAGTCCTGTAGCACTAAGATGCAACAACCTGAATTACAGCAGTGCAGGCAGGCTCACAGGATGAAGAGTGGATGTGCTGGACTGTAAAAATTGTGTATTTTGGGATGTAGCTAATTGAAGAGAAATGCAATTATGTGTATGTCTCATTCAGTTCAAATACACAGTGCAGGATGACCTGACATTTTCCAAATTTGATACTAAGAATAATTGAACTACAATTTGAGGAACAGTATTTTGACATACTTATTTTCTAACTTTCTCTAAAATTGAAGTCTTCACTATAGGTTTTCTTGGGATCTAGGGTGGCAGTATTCTACGTGGCTGTGAGAATAGGTACTTACAGTAAAAAGTTCACATCAGATGAAGAAATTTTAGTGAGGTCAGGAAATACTTTGAGTCCAGTATTGAAAATGCCGCTAAAACAGAGAAGACAGAGTTTTACATGTAGTGGATCACAGCAAACATTTATGTATTACAGACATTTAATGGATCAGAGGAATAGCAAAGTTAGCAATGAGTTTCTAAAAGATTTCCTTGTAAATATAGTCAAAGTCTCAGCCCCTATTCTAGCTGATTTTTTTTGTCCTTAAAGTAAAGCAGTAGGGAAAGTGTTACAACCAGTTCCAAAATGAAATGCAAAGAAACCACTATTGTGTAAAGAATTTAGAGAGATGTCTGTGAGGCCAAGTACTTGCAGGTCCCAAATACTTACAGGTATTTCAACAGTGGAAGGTTCTTAAAGGCATCTGGATCTATGTAATCCAAGTTTCTAAGATTTCGAATTTCACTGCAAGAAAAAAAAGAGGGATGAGGGAATGTTACCATAACATGTATTTTTTATAATAGAAACCAGGAATATTAAAATTAAATTTCAGGGAACTACTTTCAGAAAATTTGACGTTTGCTTATAGAACCTCAGCCATTTCCCTATGATTAGGGCTCTTAGAGAACATAGGAATGGTACTTTGTAAATTTGAGTAAAAAGAAAAAAAATTAATTTAAAAAGAAAAAAATTAAAAACAGTAATAAAGTTTGCATAAGGCTACATCAGTGCCACTGTTACTATTGCTGAGTAAACCTCCTGCCTGGTAACTTAATTTGAGTGTCTGCACGATTAATACAAGTCAATATAGAGTTTAAACTTTTAAAACACATTAGACAAATATGAATGCAGTAACTTCCCTAGGGAAGTAGGAGTGGGATTTCCATGTGTGAATTTATATGTTACTTATTGCAGCACCCAGAACTGTAGCTGGAGTGAAAGGCACCTTTGAAAAGCTAAGACTGTGCAAAATACAATTTAAACTAGCTTCTCTTTTTCTCCTTAAGTTGGTCTGGATCACAGATGCTTTTCTTCTCTACCTATCAGAGACATGTCTCCCATGAATGACCAGTCTCAGGACAGCTCTTAGACTCTCAGGACATTTTGTTACTTACATAGAGAAATTTTACAGAAGACAAGTATCCGTGGCATGGTGCTGCAGTATCTATGCACGATATTCTAGTCTTACATCAGTCCAAAAAGTGGTGCTACTCAGTATAGACACAGTAGAAACTGGTAGTATTTAATTTGCCATGCGCTAACATCAAGTAACCCAAGCACAGAATAAAGCTAGCCAAATATTCTGAGAAATAAAAGTGGGAAAAGAAGCATCAGACAATTGATATATCAACATGTGGAAGACTTCAGCCTCTCTATATTCTTCCTTACAGAGAGAGTTTCTGCTCCATCTTCCAAGCCTTCTGTTCTTACTGCATCTACATTATAAGGAAACAAGGACTTACATTCTATTTGCGTGTTGAACTGATATAGTTAATAGTTATGCTACTGCTATTATAGTGCTGAGTATTTTTCATGTCTGTTAACTTCTTTAACAGTATTGTTTTTGTTATAAGAAATCTATGTCAGTCTCTTGCTTCTCTCAAATTACTTCAATAGTTATGTAGCAATCATATTCCCAACAGTGGAATTTTCTCCGTAAACTTTGACGTGTTTTTTCCATCACTGCTACATTTAAAAAACTGAAGTCAGGAGCTTCATGGCTACATATTCCTTTGTTGTGGACCAAACGTATTGCGGGGAGAGATCAATATTTAGTCTGGAAATGGATAATACGTTGTATTGCCACAGAGTCCTCGGGTTTTGCTATTCATAGTACTCTGCATAAATGATTTGGATGAGGGTATTAAAAGTAACAATTTGAAATCTGCAGATGGTACTAAAATTGGGAGCACAAAATAATCAAATGAGATTCAATCAGATTTTATTAAGTTACTAGGCCATGAGAGAGCAAGTGGTGGTTGACAAAGGGAAATGACAAAGGAGAATAAAAGATTCAGAATTGCCAGATGAGACAGTTGGCCCATTAATCAGAGAAAAGCTTAAAGAACTCAAGCAAATCATTACATACAATGAAGAATGGGAAAAGGTTTATGCCCTTGCTGTTCCGGTTTCTTGAATTGATGATGCAGAGATTAGGGAAGAAATGTGCTTTAAAATATAATGTATTTATAATTCCATTTCATCCTACACATTGTATTCAGGAGGTTTCTTGTGGTCCAAAAGGGAGGGAGGAAAAGCCCTATTGTGGGCAAGTGCTACCTAAATCAAGAGCAGGCAACCAGTTGCCTAGAAGTCTCTTTTCAAAAATTGATGACAAAGTGGATGAGAGAGGTGAAAGAAAAAAAGGTGATTTGGCAAATTGATTGTTAATCTTAAGAAAAAGCTAGGAGAGAAATCCAGATTTCTCTGCTCCTAGTCCAGGCAAATGTAACTGACTAAGTATGTGGACTCTCATTTCATATACCATATTCATATTCTTATATTCATAGAATCATGGAATCACAAGGTTAGAAAGGACCTAGAAGATCATCTAATCCAATCGTACTCCCATTACCATTGCTACCACAAGCTACTAAACCACATCTCATAGCTCCTCATCCTCGTAGCGCCTCTTGAACACTGCCAGGGATAAAATGAAAAAGACGCCAGGGATAAATTGAAAAAGAGACAACTTTAAAGTCAGATCCATCCGTGAAACTGTCATCACGTATCTCAGCACTGGATAGAATCCTCCCTAAAAATCTCAGATTTAAAGGATATCTGTAGCTCCATCAGTATTGGAACCTATGAAGTGAGCTCAAAAGGAGGAAAGGTATTTTAATAGTTCTAATCACATCAGTTAATAGCACAGTGATACACAAGATGGATTTTGATTTATTGTACATGAATCAGTCATAAGTAGTATATTCAGAGGTGCCAAACTGTTATAAGACAGCAGTATTCAAATTTGTAATCAAAAGAATGTTTTGGCTTAAATATTACTTATAAAGGATTGAAAAAAAAAAAAAGGTAGTATTTAAAAATGTTCTAGGTTCACAATCAAAATGAAAATTTTACTGTGTGTGAATTGTACCTGAGTTTTGCTTTTTATGGAAATTACTTTAAAAACTTTAGAGCAGCAGGAACAGATGTGCAGAGAAAATTACTTAGTGATACACTTAAAATCTTTTGTCAATATTTATAAATAACTATAAACAGTACTTTTCTGTTTAGGGACATATGTGAATATTTAGTTCCAAATTGAAATGAGTCTTAAAATGAAACTGATAATTACTCAGTTATTACTGTGATGAATTAACATAATGAGCCGTACATTTACAAAGCAAACTCTTGAAAGCTCAGTCAGCTACTTCTTATATTGTATACATTTAGTAATATTAAAAAAGCAAAAATATTAATGTAAGTGACTTCTAAAATTCGTTTACCAGACATGTCTTTCAGATGTGCCTTGCAGTATTGACACATCCCTGAGTTTTGCTTGAGACCAGAACCCAGATATTCTAAATCTGACCAGAATGTCAATATAATCCCACTATGTTTGCTATGTATGAACAATAAGGATGTCTAGCTCAGCAATTCTGAAACATTTTAAATCAGCTGCTTTCTTTTTCTAGTAATAACTTGTGAATTTTCCCTGCTTCCTTACATTTACTTTGCTAATGAATACCATGGCCTCCTGCGCTTGTCCGTGTTTTCCCCTCCCCCTGCAGTGAAGATGCAGACCCACTAAGAGCAGCTCTCTGTGGCTTTCCACCTGTCAAGTTTTGGCACTGCTAACACTAGAAAATTGGTTCAGGCTCTAGCCAGTCTATCCTCTACCTGCAGACATCACTTTTAAGATTTTTCCACACAACACTTTCTCCGGTGTCCTAAAATTCATTGCAGCTATATAACCCTTCCCTTCATTCAGTTTCCTATTAGGGCCAGCTCTTCCCTCCTCCTCTCCAGTTACCCCTCAGATGTTGTCATAAAACCACCTCTCCTTTCTGCACCCCATATCCCAGGACCTGGCTCCATGGCTGTCCATGTGCAGAAGTGCCCCTGCACCCACTCTGCACAGAGATGTGAAGTAGTCCCTCCAGCTCTTGAAGTGGTGTTGCATATACAAAGGTAAGCCACTTGATCCACAATCTTTGGCTGTATTCCCACACTCTCAAAGGGCTTCTCACATAGTTGTTCAAGAGGAGAGAGTGTTTGTAGTATGGAGGAGTGGGGAGAAATGAGGGAGAGAGGAGCGTGAGCAGAGACACAGAGGGTTTGAAAAGAAAGAGTAAATATTTCTTTTCTTAGAGTGTTTTTCTGGGAAACGAAGACCTAATTACAAAAGCTCCTTATTCTAATGCCATCAAGTTACAGATTGCTAGTAAGATTACGCAGCGACATAGACTCTTTTGCGTTTGCATCTAGAAAGCACAGTTTTGTGACTGCATGTGAAAGGCAGTCCTGAATTGTTAAACGTGATAAATTTGTCTCACAACCATACTTAGAAACAGTAGCGACAAAAACAGCAAGCTGGAATACGTTGTGAGATCAACTTAACGTAATTGGGGAAAATATCAACACAAAGTCTTAGCCCTGATTTTAATCTTAGTATAGTGTGAATTTTACGAAGACTTTCATTTGAAATGAGATCCAGCTCATGAAATTGCAGGAGATGATATGTACTCTTAGTTTGCAAAACTTGCTCAGCGCGGGAGAAGTTTCAGCTTAGATATAATATAGGCTCAGAGGTTTCTCTTAAGGTAACATGGGACCTAAGAGATGCATACATGCAGAAAGTCATGATAGAGGCTGTCATGGTTTTATGATTTTTGGTTATCGTAACGTCATGCAGTGCACTGGGAGTTAAACTGTTAATGCTCAAGTTCCGGGCTCCTGCCTGGAGGAGAAGAACCCAGGGGGCTTTGTGGTCAGAGAGGAGATATAACCCCTGGCAAGGTCACCTGACGTGCTCTTCTTCATCGGCTCTCCTCTTTGCTGCTCAACCACACTGTGCATCTCACCTCAGTGTTATTGTGAGGCCTTTCCACCTTTTGGACACTCTCTCAGTATATTTGATTTATTGGCTTCAATTCTAATTATGTTGTATTATAGTGTGTTATCTTGCATTCCGATACTATATTTAGTAAATTTGTTTTTCCTCAGATCATTGCTGCTGTTTTTAATTATTTTGGGGTCCCCTGTTTTCCTTTTCTGAAGGTGCAGATTTTGTGAAATCCCTCCGCCCTGCTAGTCATGGAACTGGGCTAAACCAGCCCGTAAACCATTGACAGAGGCACATAGGAAGAACTGAATGTGGACTGGAAAAAAATAGAGTGCTGAAGTTCAAAACTGAGGCACACCAGCAGGCTTGGCAGACAGAATGGTGATGAACACAGGATGCCTATTCATATGACATTTGACTCAAGCCGAAGCGATTAGTGCTTTCCTTCCATAAACACTAAATTTTCTTATAAGAAGTTTTGTAGAAAAACAAATCTTTTAAAAATTAAACAGTATGTATAAGCTTAAATTGGTGTAAAAAAGATTATTTACATAAAACTGCACTCTATGAAAACTCCATGAAAAATTGATCCTGTGAAAGGTAAGCTCTGTGAAATGACTTATTTTCAAAACTGTTAGTTACTTCAAACTTCTTTAAAACAATCTATGATAATCTTTATCCGGCAATAATACTTTCAAAATAACTATGTAAGTGGAGAACATTAAACAAATGTACAGCAAAACATAACATTTATCCCCGAATAATCTTGTTGTTTGGAAAGTAAATTAAACCCATCAACAAAAAGCGTTAACAAATCAGACTATGATTTGTTATAGAAACAATTCAGAAAAACAGTGAAATCTATAAATAGCTTTCTCTTCTCTCTTATATGCAACTGCCTGGTTTTCCAGATGTCTGGGTGTCCTCTGATTAAATAATGTGCATGGCTTTCATCCAAACAGATTTTTAAAAGTGCATGCTTTTGAGTAGTAGAGATGGACTAGTGAATATTTGGGCTTTGCCTATAGCTTTTGTGAGCAAAGAGTTCCAGTGTCTTGTCTTGAGAAGTTGTTCTGATTCTTTCATAGGAAAAAACAACAGCAAAAAAAATCTATCAATATATCTTGTCTATTTGTATTTTCTGTGTGGTATTTCTTTGTGAGAAATATAAAGAGCCCTTCGTTAAACCTAAATAACCAAAGCAAAAACCTCTCCCCACCATGCCCTCCTGAAGGACCTGTGCCATATGTGCAGTAGCTGTAGATGCCATTGAGATCCTCTGACTCCTAGACAGGCTGCAGAATGGTAGGCTGTGGGTTTGACCTAGATGTGATAATGTGGTGGTATCAACCCTGCTGGTGTGCTCTGGCCTGACTTTTGGAAGACAGGGAGGAGCTGTGACATAGAAGCATGCAGATTGCATGACACACCATGATATACCAAGACAGCATAATGGGTTTCTCAAGTGTATGAATATGATTACACATGCTTGGAAGGCCTATATGGCAGGTGTGGATATAATGCATTTCAGCAAGCCAGTGCTCCACTCTGAAGCATTCTGAAGAATAGCAGGTAGTTTCTAGAAGAGCCTTCATGTGCTATAGGAGGCATTGACAACTCTATAGCTCCATCCACCAGTCCTGTAAAATAGTCACACGCTTCAAAATGAGTAATTTATGGAAACATAGTTTATATTCAAAAGCTTATGCTGCATTACCCTTTGATGGAGAGCATCTTTGTGTTATTAATTAATATCCTGAGGGAGATTTTTCCTGTCCAGTCTTTACTTTGATTCTAACATAGAAACTGAAGATCATAACATGCTCTTGGGTCATCTAACTTTATTGCAGAACCTTCTATTTCTTCTAAAATGTGAACCACAAGACAACTACCACATGAGTAATATGTGGTTGTAGTGCCAAATACTTAATTCACTGTTTATAAAATGTGATGCCAGAAAATGTTTCATTAAAAGCTTATTTTTGTTGAACAAGAAATCCTAAAGACAAAACAACTGTGAATCAGAACGGGAAAATATGAGGTAGACAGCCCTGGAAAAACTACGTACAGAAGGGACTGCATTCAAAGCAAAGATAAATACTATTACTAGACCAAAGACTTCCAGTGATGCTATTTCAGCTATAATATAGGAGCATGTTATTGGAGTAAAGTAAGTCTCAGGATCCTAGATTTTGCTCCTAGTTCAATTTATCAGATATTCTTAGGGGAAGCACTTCAGTTTTATGGTATTAGTTGCTCCCTATATATGACAACAGTAATGATATTATCCCCTTTATTCTTATTAACCTTTCCATTTCATGGTGTAAAATAAATGGGGGAAAAAAGTATAGGAAATAGAGCAGTGTTAAGAGATCACTTAGTTCAATTTCTTTCTCTGAGTAAAGATTAAATAGACCTATATGTTTTCTGATTACACAGCCCTAAAGGAGGCACCTTTCCTATGAAAGCAAATATAGTGTTTACTTGTGCCAACCATAAGAAAGTTTTCTTAAACTTTAATTTGATTTTATTGTAAGTATTGCTTTGTCAAACAACAATGAAAAATGGATTGTAGTTTCATCCCTCAAAACACATTTATATACATTTAAGATATATCTTCCTCTGTCATGTTTTCCTGAACACAAAAGTCTTTCAGATGTTTTTTGCACTCATAGTCTCCCATGGAATCTTTACATACAAAAAGCTTCTCTGAAATATGCTGAACTATAACTCATCTGAACTTACTGATATTGGCATGTTTTTCATGCCCTGATTTGAATCAGTAATGGAAACATGGAAGAGTGCCAGATGCAAGCTGGATCCAATGAAACCCCCTTTAATTAATTACATTCTTATTATACAGGGTAATGCTGAAAGACTGTAACTCTCCAAATGCAGCTATTCTACCAATTTGTTTATCCTCTCTAGTACCATTCTAGCTAGGTCTTGTTCTGTCAGTTTCCTTATTGCTACTATCACAAAATATATTGCCAAAAGCACTAGTACTGTAATTTTGACACCTTCCTGTTGCAGAGGAAATTAGATGGCCTGACCTTATTTGTTCTTAAATCCATATAGTTTAATATTTTGTTTTATAATATTCTAGGTGCTTACATACAATTGGTTTGATTACTAGTTCTGGATTTTTTTTCAGGAATTGAAGATAAGCTTCTGAGCTACCAGTTTATTTAAACTTGACATTGAATGAGAGCTTGCATGTTACGAAATAAGAAGAGGAATATTTAGCTACAAAGTAGAAAGGAATGACAATTCATACATCAACATACACATTCCTCCACACAACCTCAAATGTATTTTATCACTGCATTCATTTATTTACTTTTATTTAATTACAGTACTTACATGTGAGTGACTTTACTCAAGCTGTTGAAGGAATGGGCCTCCAGACTCCGAAGTGTTTCATCTATGGAGATATAACTAAAAACCAGCAAACAGAAAAAGAAACAAGTCACAGACCTTGGCAAACCATGGCCAGTGCCAAGCGAGACAGTTTTTCTCTTCACCCTGTGCCACCTGCCAAGGGAGGCAGCACTGATGTTGGCAGGCAGAAGAACTTTTAACATTTAAATTTGCTGTATTACCGCTAAATCGCAACTGCATAACAATGCTGCTAAGCAGCAAATAAGAAGATTTCACATTTCAGAATTCTTTTTCTTTCCTTTTCCCAATGAAGATCACTATGGTGTTCGTCAAGAAGACTTAGCTGTCAGGTAAATTGGCAGATTTATGTATATCCAAGAAAAAAAAAAAGGAAAGACACAAAGTTGGATTTTGGGTTATCACTGCAACAACTGTCACAAATTCTTTGTCATAGAGCAAGTAATACTTTGTTGTTGTTGAGGGGAAAAAAAAATGCTGTGATATGAATTTGGAAAAAACCTTTAGCCATGAAGAGAATGTCATAAAGAGAATAAAGAGCAATGTGGCACCAAAGCAAAGCAAAACAACAAGAAAAAAATACCACAAGCTTAAGAAATACATATGGTTAAACTGAGTAGCACTTACACTGAATATGAGAAACTAGCCCTACTGAGTCTCCCCACCACCACTAGGAAGGTAATAGTGAAATTAGTCTGTTAAACGTTTTGAAGTGTGAGTAAAGTTGCAATACAACTAGCAAATTCAAATTTTCAAAGTCACACTGACCTTAATTATTTGGGTAACATCACCTAATTATGTCATTCAAAATATCTCTTAGTTTGAAAATTGATCAGTCCTGGAATAACATTTAAATGCTGTATTCCTGTGCTTGGTTTACATTTTCTAATTATATTAAATATATTTCTAATTTATAGATCTTTAAAATTAATAAGTAATTAAAATGTCGATAGTATTATCAGTGTTAATAGTAAATATGAAATACAAATACAATCTTTTAAATCAGAAGGACTTTGTCTTGCAAGAAATTACAGATCAGATTCTTTTTTGTTGTTGTTGTTGTTGTTGTGGAAATGATACAGAAATTAAATTTCAACTTCTTTCCGTGGATATTTTGAAAATAACTAAAATGTTTTTAAAAAATTGGAAACAACACTTTGTAATCAGCTTGTGCTCTGACAACCAGAAGATTACTAATACCATTAACTGTTCCAATGGAATTTATGTCTACTCTGGAGCAAGGCAGAACTAATTTCTACTTTTCTAAGAGGAGATGTACTTTTTATTGGTAATTGAAAATGTATTCTGCAGTATTTGAAAAGATATCAGAAAAGTAACTGGTAAAGATTGTGCAACCAGCAGATTCTCTTTTCTCAGTAATATTATTTCCAAAAAGCCATTTGGTTCTTCCAAAATGAAGGAAGAAAATAAAAGAAGAATATAATAAAGAAAGTATTTCCAGGCTGTAGCTCTGTGATTGAATACTGCAGAATTAGATGCTTACTTGAGATGCTTTAATTTAATCCTTTTAGAAGCACTGCATATCTACTACTTAAGAAAATGTATTTCCACTTTTCACAGGAAAATGAATTATTTGATTTTAGCAGAGCCTACATTTTAACATACCAAAAGATAGGTAGTGTGTAGCAAACAGCTATATATAAATTAGCTTGACATAAAATCAAATGAAAAATAGAGAACAAGCAAACAAAATCCTCATGCCAAGCAGCTGGTTCTGGAAATTAGAAAGCACTATTTTTGTGTGCCCCATAGTACTGATGGCAGTACCAGGCAGGCAGGATGACACCTATCTGTCATGTATGAGAGGAGACAGAAGAGAAGCAGGGGCTGTTCTTCCTGTCTTCCTTAATCCCTCCAGCCACCATATCCCACCTGTCCACATGTCCCATTTGTACTGTGTTGGCTGGCTTGGAGCTGCCTGAGTTACAGTTTTATATCTCAAACCTGCAGGGTGAAGGTAGGAAGGAAATGACATATTTTCTTGGCATGTTGACCTCTGCTTTTCTGCTTTGTAATTGTTTACATTAATTAGATGACATCATCACTCATTATATAAGTAGTCACTAGGAGCAGTACTCAGCAAGCATGCACAAACATTCAATCTCTTCTGAGAAAGAAGCGTTAATGGTGCTTAAATATTTACTTGCAACTGTTCAGAGTCCTTCTGCATTTGGTTGATGAACACATCATACAACACATTTGAACATAAAAAATAAATATTACAGCAGTCATAATCAGAAGATGTTACACTGGGAAGAGACAGTAAGTACGTTTAAATTCCCATTTTGAAGGCATAACTCAGCAGTGCCTCCCTGTGCCAGCTGTGTTTCACTTGCAGGTTTCCAGAATGCCTCTGATATCCACCATGAATTTAGTGCCAACCTAAACACCAAATTCACAACTTCTCTTTTGGAGAAGGTCTTTTTGCAGATAAACAACCTTTTATCACCATTGTGCATTCCAAAAAACCTGAGAATTCGGGACTTCAAACAGACAACATGTGGCAGTAAAAACAATGACCTCTCACTGTTCTTCATTCTCCCTTTCTCCACCTTTCTTTGCTTTTTCTAGCTTCAACACCCCCTGTCCTGTGCTGCACAGAATCAGTTTGCACAGGATGTGAAAACACACTATGTTGCATAGAGAGATACAGAGCACAAGGGAAATGTTATGCTCTGCATAGGGCTGCTACCTTGTATGGAGAAGCTGTGGAGAAAACTGCTCGGGAAGGTACACATCAGGTGTCCATGAGGTACTCACAGATATTACACGAAGCATCAACAATATCCTTTTCAGCTCCTCAGAGCTCAGGAAAAATTCTCTATCTTTAACCTTAAAAGTACTGTATGTTCAACCTGTTTGAAGTCAGAAGGGACAAGTATTTCTACCAAGTATTTCTACCAAGATTTTTCAACTTTAATAAAATTCTATTACATCTGAATAACTTACAAAATATTTTTTTACATGTTGTTATTGCCAGAAGGGAGCATATGCACCTGAGTGCACTGATGCATTTCTGATAGGAATTAGCTTTACACTTGAGCATTTCATTGAAATGCTTTCTGTTTCATTCCTGTTGCAAAGCAGCAAAGGGAAACAAATCCCTACTTCTGACTATCAAGAATACACAGATACGCATGAACTTAAGAACAATCTAACCCTAAAATTCTTGTTTAAACAAGGTTCATAAAGAGGCTAATCTTGTTTCTATTCAGTATAGAGGGTGAAAAAAAGGTTTATTCATGCAAACTATCAGTAGAAATCACATAGCAAAAGAAAGAAGTATATTTGGAGTAGTAAATACAGTCTCTATTATCTTCTTGAAACTTCAGAACACCAGGCTGGATAAAGACCTGAGCAACTTGGTTTGACTTCATATTTGGCAGAACTTTGAGCAGGTGGTTGGACTAGAGGCTTCCTGAGGTCCCTTCCAAATTACTGTATGTTTCTAGGGAGTGAACTGGGAGATATCAGAGAAGTTCCCTGCATCAATTAGCCATTGTGGGATTACAGGCAAGCCACAAAGAGAAACTAAAAAACTTGGTACACCTTTGTCTCAGAACTGCTGATGTCAACAACCAGGGCACACTGAGAGCAGGTGGCCACTTGCAACTAAAGTGAACATGAGGCAAGTATACAGATGCTGCTGCCTCCACATTTATGGATTGTATTCATGTATGTGTTCTATATACAAAAGACATGAAACAACAGAAGTCCCGCTTGCATCACACAAGTATCATTATTTTTGTGGAAAACCATTCATATTTTAGAAAAGCTACAGGGTCTCCAGTGAAATGAACTATAAATCATGCAAGAAAAAAAGAAACAACAACAACAACAAAAAAGTAATTAGTCTGAACCAGTAATATACTATGTCGTTTGAACTAAAAAAAAAACCAAGAAAACCTAGTATGCCTTGCTACAGATTGTTTAGTTTTGAACAATTGGATGATAACTCACAGATCTAAATTTTTGATAAAGTGGTAAAAGAATATCAGAAATAGAACTTACATTCTAGAGATATTGGGGAGATTGGAAAATGCTTCACTTGGAATTGTTCTTAGATGAGTCTCCATAAACCTCCTATAGAAATAAAAGTTTGCAAGTTAATATTCTCTGTTAAGTACAGTTTAACATTAAATTGTCATATATAACTCCAGCTCTGCTCCAGTAATTCTGTTCTTATCTTCTATTTTCCCAGCTTTTCCATCCTCACATTATTCCTACTCCTGTTTCATTATGCATCTTTGTTTGCTCAGTGTGCTCACCAGCCAAAATTCAAGTAAAGAGTTATTGCATATTATCTCCATAAAATTCCCTGTATGCTTTGTAGTAAATACACCATTTTTTCACAAACATCTGATGTGTGGATGGTAGGTATACTGTTATTTCTTAAGTCCAGATAAGGCTGCACTTCTGGAGATAATAGAAAGACATATCTTACTCATCTGCAGAAGGTTTCAGAAAAACAGGTAATATTTAGAGGAGACATATATCAACAGCCAAGTTTTTAACAGAATGAATACCCAACAGACTGACTATTCCAATAAAGAGGAGGAAATGCTTCAGAAAATTAGCCTATAATATCTTTAGACTTACAGTTACAAACGATCATTGCTGAATGAGGTCATTTTTTGTTTTCCAGTACATCTGGGAATATAGTTACATATTATATAATATATATTATACAATATATAGTCAACTAACAGTCTGAAGAGTAACCAAGAAAAAAATATAGTCATTTCTCACAGATTCTCCTAAGAACAACTTTGTATGAAATAAATGAGCAAACATTAGTAATGTTTTCTGTTTTCTTCTCATATATGTAACGTGTTCATATATACATGTTACATGCATAAGCAAAGAGAACCTAAAGGTTGTTTATCCAAAATGGATTGATGTTTCTCCTAAATTTAGTACCTCAGTTTTCTTTTCCCTCCTCCACTTTGTAAAACTGGTTCCTCTTAGGATCACAATCCTCGGCAAAATGTTTGCAAAGAATAACCAGCTACAGCATGCTGACCTTGCTGTTGTGTTTCAACATCTGTCTGTACTTACAGTCCTTTCAGGAAATAAAAAATGATGACTGAGAAATTTCTGTTTCAGATAGATTTTAAGAAGTATTAAAGTAGAACAGTGTGGACAGATCTTGGCAGGCTGGAGAAATGAGCTGACAGAAACCTCACAAATGTCAACAAGGTGAAGCATAAAGTCCTGCCCCTGAAGGGGAAAAACTCAGGCACCAGTATGTGCTGGGCCTACCCAGCTTGAAAGCAATGCTGGAGAACAAGATCTAGGACTCCTGGTAAACACCGAGTTGAGCATGAGCCAGCAGCATGCTCCATAAATAGTGCTAACAGTATCATGGTCTGCACTGGGAGGCTGTCCTAAGACTTCTCCTGAAGACTGCTAGAACCCAGAAGCTAAGAAAAAACATAGGTTAAGCCATTTGCAACTATCTAGGCTTGCTTTTAACCCGTCTTATATCCCTCTGGTCCTGTTCATCTAGGAGATGCTGGCTCACAACTTCATATTTACCTCTCACACCAATCATCACAGAGATTAGTACTTAACCTGCAATCCTATACCCCAGAAAAGAATTTAAACTCTGCTGTAAGTCTCGTCTCAATCTCTCGCTTTTAAGTCAAACATTCAAACTCCATCTTTGCCACATGGTGAAGTGAGCTACATAAGGGCTAAGTGAGTTCACATTAATCTTTTATTCACATGCCTGGAATTTACACCCTGTCAGAAAAGAATGGAAATTCTGGATAACATATGTGAATCCATTGCTATCAAAGTTGCTGTAGTATGAAATAGCCCTACACTTATGACTTCCTAGATAAGGCTTCTGTTATCTCAAAAATAGCACAATGAAGTAACTTAGCCGTGTATTTTAACTAAACAGCTCATAAATTTATTTATAGGTTGGAACGGGGAATATAATATATCTTCATAGCTATTTGCTAGAGATTAAAAATATACTAATTCAGCAAATATGACAAGAAACCATAGGTGGCACAAGATGTGTGAAGTGTAAAGACAACTAAGTATTAAGAGAAAGAAATCTTCGGCTGATGAAGATCGAAAATAGCAAACTTCATGACAACAACTTGGTTGTGAAGTGAAATAGTTTCAGAGAACGTCAACAAATCTAAAACAGAACTAGTTATGGAACATACCTACTACACAAATGATTTGCTAAATAATAGCAGATAGAGCACATAGTGTCCAAGTAATTGGTGTTACCTAACTGCAATTCCTTACCTACTTGCAGAGTTAACAGATAGCAGGCAGTTCATGGTCAGTGCTTATGTAAACCATGAAAGGGAGTCAGTGCAATGGCTCTAGAATTAGGTCCGAATTTTTAAGCCAGCCTTTGTGTACAGCCATCTGCAAAGCCCCAGTTCTTGCTGAAGTACCTGCGCTCTGATACATTAAAGCAAATTGTAACCCACCTTCTAAAGCAGTTTAAAAATTTGCAGAAAAACAGTCCCTGTTTCCTAGCTTTGAATCTGTGGATTATTGCTGGAGCAGTAATACTAACTAGTGCTATGTAGAAAGCTATGAGATGGGTAGTTATTCCAAAACTGAAAAGAAGAGAGGCTGAGAAAACTCTCAACCAGAGCAGTCTGTGTTGGATCAGAAATGACAGTAATTATATATAATAGCTTTAGTTTAGTTTCTAGCCCAATTTGACTACATAAAATGATGATCACAAGCTTACCCAGCTGTGCTAATACGATCCTCAAGGTGGAATGACCAGACAGTTTGGAATTTAAAGCCCAGAGCTAGAAAAGGAAGGCAGGTCAGGGCTTCCAGCTCCCCAGCCTTCCAACTTATGACGCCAGCTCCAGTCTTAACATACAGTGTGAGCAGGTGATAAATAATTGAGAATTCATTATATGAATTGCCTATGATTCTTCCTCTCTTGCATGCATTAGAAATTTTCTTTGAATATGCATATTTTAATTTGCAGTTTAGCAAGTGAGTCCAGTATCCAACAATCCGCAGAGTCTTCACTAAGTAAGCTGCTTTTTTTTTTTTTTTTTTTTTCTTTTTTTTAAGAATAAATAAAAAAACTTTAGCAGGAAAATACGCATTACTTTTCCATGTGAGAAAAACAGTAAAAGTAATAAGTTACATATTTAATAGCTCATTTAATATCTTATCTCTATTAAGGAAAAGATGACACACTAACTTGAGAACTTCCATTTATTTCTACTTTTATTTTCTCATTCAGATTAAAAGCTTCAGTAAATAATAAATCTGGAAAAAGGCTTCACTTTACATTCCATAAAATCTTTCAAAAAGAAGAATCAAAAGTCTGAGGTCATTTTCATTACAAATAGGCTATCAAGATTTGAAAAGTTGCAGAAGCAAACAAATCATGTTTCTACTACATAAGTTGTTTTTAAAATAGCAATAAAATATTTCAGTAAAACATTTTAAGCTTTATATGATGGCATTTAGTTTGCATTTTTCATTTTACAGGTCTCTGATTTCTAATCTAGTTGAAGTGTTAAATTTTTTTTTTTCTCCTTTTGTATTTGCAGCTAAGTTTATTCTGAATGTCCCTGAAAGTCTTCGCATCACATCTATTAAGAAAATGAAACCTGAAAGAAACTCATAAGAAAGACATTAGGCTACTTGTATCCAACTAATGACTGAAACACCTCCCTCTCTGATTCCTTTGAGGTCCCAAAACAATCTTCGGGAAAAGCCTAGTTACTCCTCATTGCGAAAAAAAAAAAAAAAAAACCAACCAATTTCATTTTATATTTGTTGTTGTTGTTGTTGTTTGTTTATTTTCTTGTTGTTTTGGTTTGTAAAGTATATAGACTTTAAAATATTTTGTACCTGCACAAGAACAACCCTGCTTCTGACTACTAGGAATGCAAGTTCAAGGACTGTGAAGAACTCAGACTTAATGCAAATCTGCTTAATTTTAACGATTCATTTTTAACACTTCATATTTGCTTCATTCTAACAATTTTAACTATTCATTTTAACGACATTTCTTTTTATTATTCTGAAATAAGTGAATAGTAGTCTTCCAGTGGAGCAAAAACAATGATGAAAAGGCAAGTCACAACGTGAAATGCACTTATCTGACCAGAAGATGATTACCACCTAGTGTCTAACCCTAGTATTACATACGACGCGGTAGAACTGTCAAAAAGACTCGAAGCAAAGTAATGCTAAAGAGGAAAGCACTCAGGAATTCGGTAGAGGACTTCATAGCTGCTTTCCCACAGTTAAGCAGAAGTCCAAAGGAATGTCATAAACTGTATGTCAGAACTGAACAACCCTAAAAAATTGAAGAAATGCCAGAGCAGAAGTGTTCTGGTCAGAGTTTGGTTAGCATTCTGAGTGAAAAATAAGTTCTTATAGCTTACATATCCTCTTCCTATACACTAAGATGCATAGGGGTGCTGTCAGACAGACAAGAATTGGTTTCTTGTTCCTTTCTTACTAATATTTAGCAAGCAGAAAATACCAGTCAATAATTACTGAACTTGTTCTTGCTCAGTTTGTGTTCTCATTTAATTAATTTTAAGTGCAACGTAACATGCTTCCAAATACTGCATTTTACATAAATCTGTGCTTTTGAAATTTTCTTTCAAATCTCATTCACGTTATTAAATTTGACTACATATTTTTTCTTTAAAAGGCATTGCATTCTGTAATCTCACCATCTTAATGGAAGTAAGTAAATATAGTAACTTTGCACTTGACAAGAATAAGTCATAAACAAAACATGGTCTCAGGGTTCTTGAAATTGTTTTCAAACTATGAACTGCTTTGCAACACATACACATCTCAACTACCAAATGAAGAATAAGAATGAGTGAGAGTAGGTGACAAGAAATACTGGAATTGTCCCCCCCTCCCCTCTCCTTCCTCTCCCTTCCCCCCTTCCCCCCCCCCCCCATTTCTTATATTTCCTTGCATCATTCTGACTTCCTTTGTAATGGCATGGAACCACAGCCAGTGCTAGGAACGTTCAAGTGCAAAAAAAGAACCATTCCTATTCTGAGTAAAAATAATCATTATCTCAGTATGCTTTAATTATATATGTA